TGGTGCTGAATTCTCTCAGCTTTTCCTTGTCTGTAGAGGTTTTAATTTCTCCATCAAATCTGAATGAGATCCTTGCTGGGTAGAGTAATCTTGGTTGTAGGTTCTTCTCCTTCATCACTTTAAATATGTCCTGCCACTCCCTTCTGGCTTGTAGAGTTTCTGCTGAAAGATCAGCTGTTAACCTTATGGGGATTCCCTTGTGTGTTATTTGTTGCTTTTCCCTTGCTCCTTTTAATATGTTTTCTTTGCATTTAATTTTTGATAGTTTGATTAATATGTGTCTTGGTGTGTTTCTCCTTGGATTTATCCTGTATGGGACTCTCTGTGCTTCCTGGACTTGATTAACTATTTCCTTTCCCATATTAGGGAAGTTTTCAACTATAATCTCTTCAAATATTTTCTCAGTCCCTTTCTTTTTCTCTTCTTCTTCTGGAACCCCTATAATTCGAATTTTGGTGCATTTAATGTTGTCCCAGAGGTCTCTGAGACTGTCTTGAGTTCTTTTCATTCTTTTTTCTTTATTCTGCTCTGTAGTAGTTATTTGCACTATTTTATCTTCCAGGTCACTTATCCGTTTTTCTGCCTCAGTTATTCTGCTATTGATCCCTTCTAGAGTATTTTTAATTTCATTTATTGTGTTGTTCATCATTGCTTGTTTCCTCTTTAGTTCTTCTAGGTCCTTGTTAAATGTTTCTTGCATTTTCTCTATTCTATTTCCAAGATTTTGGATCATCTTTACTATCATTATTCTGAATTCTTTTTCAGGTAGACTGCCTATTTCCTCTTCATTTGTTAGGTCTGGTGGGTTTTTTATCTTGCTCCTTCATCTGCTGTGTGTTTTTCTGTCTTCTCATTTTGCTTATCTTACTGTGTTTGGGGTCTCCTTTTTTCAGGCTGCAGGTTCGTAGTTCCCGTTGTTTTTGGTGTCTGTCCCCAGTGGCTAAAGTTGGTTCAGTGGGCTGTGTAGGCTTCCTGGTGGAGGGGACTAGTGACTGTGTTCTGGTGGATGAGGCTGGATCTTGTCTTTCTGGTGGGCAGGTCCACGTCTGGTGGTGTGTTTTGGGGTGTCTGTGGCCTTATTATGATTTTAGGCAGCCTCTCTGCTAATGGGTGGGGTTGTGTTCCTGTCTTGCTAGTTGTTTGGCATAGGGTGTCCAGCACTGTAGCTTGATGGTCATTGAGTGAAGCTGGGTGTTGGTGTTGAGATGGAGATCTCTGGGAGATTTTCACCGTTAGATATTATGTGGAGCTGGGAGGTCTCTTGTGGACCAGTTTCCTGAAGTTGGCTTCTCCATGTCAGAGGCACAGCACTGACTCCTGGCTGCAGCACCAAGAGCCTTTCATCCACACAGCTCAGAATAAAAGGGAGAAAAGGTAGAAAGAAACAGAATAAAATAAAAAAGTAAAATAAAATAAAATAGTTATTAAAATAAAAAATAATTATTAAGAAAAATATTTTTTAAATCAAACAAACAAAAAAAAAACACAGATGTACAGAACCCTAGGACAAACGGTGAAAGCAAAGCTATACAGATAAAATCTCACACAGAAGCATACACATACACACTCACAAAAAGAGGAAAAGGGGAAAACATAATATATCTTGCTCGCAAAGTCCACCTCCTCAATTTGGGATGATTCTTTGTCTATTCATGTATTCCACAGATGCAGGGTACATCAAATTGATTGTGGAGATTTAATTCGCTGCTCCTGAGTCTGCTGGGAGAAATTTCCCTTTCTCTTCTTTGTTCGCACAGCTCCCAGGGTTCAGCTTTGGATTTGGCCCCGCCTCTGTGTGTAGGTGGCCGGAGGGCGTCTGTTCTTCACTCAGACAGGACGTGGTTAAAGGAGCAGCTGATTCGGGGGCTCTGGCTCACTCAGGCATGGAGGAGGGAGGGGTATGGATGCGGGGAGAGCCTGCGACGGCAGAGGCCGGCGTGACGTTGCACCAGCCTGAGGCGTGCTATGCATTCTCCCGGGGAAGTTGTCCCTGGATTCCGGGACCCTGGCAGTGGCGGGCTGCACAGGGTCCCAAGAGGGGAGGTGTGGATAGTGATCTGTGCTCGCACACAGGCTTCTTGGTGGCGGCAGCAGCAGCCTTAAGGTCTCATGCCCATCTCTGGGGTCCGCACCTTTAGCTGCAGCTCGCAGCTAGAGGTCCTTTAAGCGGCGCTCTTAATCCCCTCTCCTCGCGCACCAGGAAACAAAGAGGCAAGAAAAAGTCTCTTGTCTCTTCGGCAGCTCCAGACTTTTTGCTGGACTCCCTCCCAGCTAGCTGTGGCGCACTAGCCCCCTTCAGGCTGTGTTCACGCCGCCAACTCCAGTCATCTCCCTGCGATCTAAGCTCTGAAGCCCAAGCCTCAGCTCCCAGCCCCCGCCCGCCCCGGCGGGTGAGCAGACAAGCCTCTCATGCTGGTGAGTGCTGGTCGGCACCGATCCTCTGTGCGGGAATCTCTCCGCTTTGCCCTCCGCACCCCTGTTGCTGCGCTCTCCTCCGCGGCTCCGAAGCTCCCCCCCTCCACCACCCACAATCTCTGCCCGCGAAGGGCCTTCCTAGTGTGTGGAAACTTTTCCTCCTTCACAGCTCTCTCCCACTGGTGCAGGTCCCGTCCCTATTCTTTTGTCTCTGTTTATTCTTTTTTCTTTTGCCCTACCCAGGTACGTGGGGAGTTTCTTGCCTTTTGGGAGGTCTGAGGTCTTCTGCCAGCATTCAGTAGGTGTTCTGTAGGAGTTGTTCCACGTGTAGATGTATTTCTGATGTGTCTGTGGGGAGAAAGGTGATCTCTGCATCTTACTCTTCCGCCATCTTCCCCCTCTCTTCGGAGATAGGGTCTTTAAAGAGGTAATTAAGTTACAATACGGTTGCAGGTGTGGGCCCTGATCCAATATGACTGGTGTCCTGATAAGTATAAGATGAGGAAATTTGGACACAAACACACAGAGGAAAGACCATGTGAGGACACAGTGAGGAAGTCGCTATCTACTAGCCAAGGAGAGAGGTCTCAGAAGAAACGAACTCTGCCATCACCTTGACCTGGGACTTCTAAATCTCCAGAAATATTATAAAATAAATTTCTGTTGCTTAATCCACCGAGACTGTGTAACTTGTTGTCACAGCCCTAGCAAACTAATACAGGCACATTTAATATTCAAGTTTGAATAATTACTAAGTATTCATCCCACCATTATAAAAACATCTCTTTTCCTTCTCTCTGGGCACTACTTTCATGAAAATTCCAAGAATCATAAGGACACCTACTCTGTGCAAATAGTCAGTCCTGGTGACCAGTTTTACAGAAAAAAAATGCTAGAAAATCTGACCAGTCCACCAGAGGGCCAAGTGTACTGCTACTATGATTCTTGGACCACACACACGGTATTTGTTGAAAGCACGTGACTCAGAAACAGGGGTCATCCTTGTCCATGGATCAGAGCTTATCAATGGTCCAGACACCAGCACCAGGTGGCCCACGCTCCCGGGCCATTGTCACCAGCATTGGGGTGCTTGAGGCATACACCACCCAGGCTGGTCCCATAGGACTTCTCAGGATACAGAGAAGGAGGAGGACACGGCTCCCTCCCTGTATTATGCCTGCATACGGTGGTTCCACATCATTCAATGTCTCAGCTCCAATGCTGCCATTCCTTTACACAGCACTTTCCTCATGCACTCAGCCATTTTCCCTAAGGCACTTGCACTGGGCCCAGGTGACTGAGTCCAGGAGGCTCCAGACTCAGCCACACACCCTGACCTGCATCCTGCCCGACACGCTCAACTTCCTGGCCCTCAGGAGAAAAAGCAGCCCTTCCCTCACTCAGTCCAGAGCGTGCCTATGCCTGCCTAGTATTATTAGTCATACTATTTTCAAGGGGAAATCTCACCTTGTGAAATGAAACGTGACCTGGTGAAATGAAATAAAAGCAAACCAAATCCTGCCAAGTAAAAGGAGGTGTGTTCCATAACTAAGTAAAATTATTTCAGGAACGCAGAGACAGATAAATATTAGGGGAAATTTTTAAACGACATATCACTAAGTCAAAGGGGAAAAAAAATCTTCTTAAAAGATGAGGAGGTGACTTCAATAGCATTTCTAATTTATAACACTAACCACCACAACAAAAACATTTTATAAACTAGGAATGGAAGATTGCTCCTTGATATGATAAAAAATCAAAATTGTCCCAAGCCAAATGGCAGTAATATCTAGTTAAAAGTAAGTGATGTTCCCACTTAACAAAATAATAAGACAAGGCTACTTGCAATCATGGTCATTGTTTATAGTGTTCTAGAAGTTCTAGACCTGTACTGTCCAAAATGACAGCCACTAGCCACATGTGGTTACTGAGCACTTGAAAGAGGGCTCATCTGAATTGAGGTGTGCTGTACCAGATTTTGAACACTTAGTATTTTTTTTAAAAAGAGTGTAAAATACCTAATTTTTAATTTTTGTATTGATTGAGGTTGAAATTTTATTCTGGGTATATGGGGTTAAATAATAATATATTATTGAATGAATTTCATGTTTCCTTTTACTTTCTTTTACCGTAGCTACTAGAACATTTTAAACTACATATATGAATGGCATTATATTTCCATATTTCAGTGCTCTTCTAGACAGTGTAATAAGGTAAAGGAAAAGAAAAAATCTTTAGCCACAAGAAATAAGAAGGTGCAATTATTACTGTTTGAGGATTAGATGACTGGGTAGATGAGAAGTTATTACACATTTTAAAAAATAATTATTTAGAAATTAATGACTACTTTCTATGCCAGCATTAGACAGTTAGAGAATATAATGGAAAAATGAATCTCAAATGTCCACAAAATATATAATATACTCAAGAATAAATTATATGTAAAATGTAAGACATTTTTATAAATAAATAGTTTAAAATGGCTTTAGTTTCTCCTTTGCAACTGTTTAGGGAAGAAGTAAAGATGTTCTCAGAGAACACTAGTCTGAACTGAGGCCCCCAACTGAGCAAACAGCTGTACTCACCTGACTGCCAGTCTGTAGTGGCTGCTGAGGACCAAATATCCGTGTCCATCAAGTATTGTAGAACTCACAGCATACAAGTTCAGCAATGACCTTGTTTCTGGCTCCATCTTAGGTTTCCTATCCTGATGTTTCTTTGCTTAATCATCCAAGCACTGCATTATAAAACATGATACATGCATCAGCTATAATTATACACTGACTTCATGGTTTGTTTTTTCTCCTATTCCTTTAACTTTTTAATGTAGGGCTGGTCCTTCCCCTTCTCTCAAATGACATTTCTTAGTCATCTTGTATCACTTCTTCAGGGACAACCGTAGTCTCTGTTTCTGCACCTCTGCCTTTTCATCTGAACAGATACCCCCTTTTCATTAGAGGCATTTGAAAATGCAACTCTTAGGACTCAATCTTGACAAATATTGCAGAGACAGAGGGACATTTTAACCTTTGACTTGTCAAAGGTAGTCACATCTACACTGAGGCTTAGTAAGGATGTGAGAACATTCCTTACTAAATAAATCTTTTTCTGTAACTTTGGATGCTAACTTTAATGTCATTTAATATAGGAGGAAATTTGTATATGATTTCTCTGAATCCTTAATAGCCTAGGTTTAATAGACTGGAAAGGCAGGGCAGGGAGTCACATATCCTTGGCAGAGGATATAGGACTGTTTGGAGAAAACCTGCGAAAAACCCTGAGAGCCTCCAGGACCCAGTACCTTTGCAATCTGTCTGGTTTATTATCCTGGCCTGGAGCTTGGGACCTCTTACCTCCCAGGTAAAAGACTCCTTTTGGCCCTGGGGACAAGGACAATAGCCCTCCAGAAGCCCAAGGGACAATTTACAAAGGCCCAGGGCTTACAGAGCCTTGCAGTGTCTCTCCACTCCAGACATGAAATAGGGCTTCTGATCCAAGGGCCATCCCAGGGAACTACTGGGAAGACGTGAGGATCTAGGCTGACAGGGGAAGTGTGCCATTTCTTAAGGCAAAAAGCAGTGGAGAAGAAGCAAATATGGAGGATAAGGAGTTGAGTTTGGGACATTTTTTTTTACTTATTTTTGGCTGCATTGGGTCTTCGTTGCTGCACATGGGCTTTCTCTGGTTGTGGCAAGCAGGGACTACTCTTCATTGCAGTGCATGGCCTTCTCTTTGAGGTAGCTTCTCTTGTTGCAGAGTACGGGCTCTAGGGTACACGGGCTTCAGTAGTTGCAGCACGCAGGCTCAGTAGTTGTGGCGCACAAGCTTAGTTGCTCCGCGGCATGTGGGATCTTCTGGGACCAGGGCTCGAACCTGTGTCCCCTGAATTGGCAGGTGGATTCTTAACCACTGAGCCACCAGGGAAGCCCGAGTTTGGGACGTTTTTATGTTGACGTAGAACTACCAAGCGAAGATATATTAGTAGGCATTAGGATCTGGAATTCAGGAAAGACATTAGCCTACAGACGCAGATGTTAACAACTAAAAACGTAAGTCCAGTGGTATTTGATATTTCTCTCCAGGAAATCATCGAGTTTTTCATTTTCAGGAGCACACAGAGGACATGTCTTGGATGACACAGAGGAGATTTTAGAGGAACAGCACTGAACCTCTCTTACAATGCAGGTGGAACTTCTGAGTGTTATGTGTCCATTTTCAACTACTGCATAACAAATTATCACAGACTTAGCAACGTGAACAATACACATTTATTATCTGACTATTGCTGTGGGTCAGAGTCTGCGTGTGGCTTAGCTGGGTCCTCTGTTCAGGGTCTCATAAGGCTGCAGTTGAGGTTTTAGCCAGGCTGTGTTCTCATCCAGAAGCTTGAATGGGGAAGAACCTGACTCCAAGCTCACTCAGGTTACTGGAAGAATTTATTTCCGAGGGCCCCAGCTTTTGCTGGCTAATGGTTGGAGGCTTCCCTCAGCTCCTAGATGTCACCCACCATTCAGAGAGGCCCACGTGGACTTCCCCAAAATGGCCACTTACTTCATCAAAACAGTGAATGAATTTGCTAGTAAGACAAAGCCTCATATAATGCAATGTAATCATAGGAGTGACATCCATCACTTTTGCCATATTCAGTTGGTTAGAAGCAAGTCAGGTCCCCCTATACACACTCAAGAGGAAGGTATTATACAGGACACAAACAGGAGATCAGGACCATGGAGGGTCAACTACCTCAGAATCTGTCTGCCACATGCTGCATGGATGGGAGAGGCATTGAAACAGAGTTGAAAAGCCATCTCCAAGGAGCAAACATATAGCATGGGAGGCACAAGAACATTCACCACATATTCTGCCATAGGCCACATAAAAGGTGCAAAAGACCACAAATGTAGGCAGCTGCACATATCAACCACTTATTAAATACATTCATTGACATATTCTGTTACGAGGGTACCTATGCTATACTTCAGAAGGTTGAGAGCGAGAGAGGGGGGAAGCAAACAAGCTAGGCTGACGATAACCCTCAAAATGTATTACCTGGGATATTCTGGAGAGATTTGACCGGCATAGGCATCTGAGCGTTGAATGGCATGGTGATCGGTCAAAGAATATCTTGGTTGATTTATTTCCCCATCTTCCCACTAGGAAGAACGGAGTTGATGCAACTCTAGAAAGAGGAAATATTTGAAAACTTCTATAACTCAGTAATCAAAACCTACATGAAATAATAGATATATGCCAGGTGCTAAGCAGTTCATCAACAACCTGCACTGAAAGGTGTCTAACTGCTCAACACAGGAAGCTCTGGCCTAGGTTGTTGCTCCTGTGCCCTAACTAGTCTCTTACCTCAGGACCTCCCCTGGAAGAGCTGGCCAAGACTCTCCAAAGCTGCCAACATGAGGGGGTGTGCAGTTTCATCTCCATCTTGTCTCCACCAGAAGCACGCCCATGACACTGCCATCTGCTCAGCAACATGGCATCCCAGGCACCAGGGACCCCGTTCGGGACGTGAAACTGGGTACAGGGCCATTTCCTCTTGACACCTCAGAACTCATCTCCCTTCTGAAACAAGGACAGACATGCCCGATTTATCAGGGACCCAGCGAGCATGGAGGCAAATCTTTGTTCTCAGTAATTCTGAGACTTCAAGGATATTTGGTAGCAACCGAACCTAGCCTGCCTGAGCAACTGTTCCTGCAACACCAAACTCCATGAGGTTGTTAATGGTGAGAAGGCGACTCTTGCTTCATCACAAACCAGCAAGAGGACGTGCCCATTTCTGCTTGTCCAAAGAAACAAGCATGTCAGGAAATAACAGCTCTCCCAAAAGGGCAGATGGGCAGCTTCTCCACCCTGCCCCTCCCTTTCCGACCCCATCACAGACAGAAGAAAACATTCAACCAGCCAGGCCAGGGGAGGTGATACATGGAGGAGAGATGGATAAAAATTTCATTTCAGGCTTTGAAGGTGTACCCTTTGGATGCTCCTTGTCCCATTGTTTTGTTTGTTTATTTTCTTGCAGGGGTGTTTGGGGAAGCATGATGCCGTTTTGCAAAAAAGAAAGTACAGGATTTCTGAAAAGACAGCCCCGGGTCTAAATGCTAGCTTTCTCCACGTATTCTCTGCCCACCTTTCAATAGAACAGTCTAATCCCCTTAAATCTGTTTCCTCATCGTCTTAGAAGGGAACATTTAAAAGGTACTTAATCTCACTAAGTTATTGCCAGGGAGCATGTTGAGACCCAGCATTGCGCAGAGGCATCCTACACTCTGAAGGACTGCAGAGCTGAAGCCAGCCCGGGGTCCGTCACACCCATGTTAACACTGCACGCCTGGAAACTAAAACCCGTGCTGGGAAAGGGACTTGGCCAAGTTCTCTATGCCAAAAAGATGCCACATGGGGTACTGCCTCCTGCCCAGGCCTGCCGGAGTGGGGAGACAGAGCTGAAAACTAAACTTCAAAAAACCAAGAAGAGAAAAAGAAACAAACTCCTCCGCCTTGCCTGGGGGTGAGAGCCTTGCGGTTCAGGTGGGACTGAAGAGGGTGGGGCTTTTAGCGTAGGCGCAGGACTGGTCAGGTGGTAAGTCCCCACCGCAGCCAATGAGAGCTCCCATCCAACCTGCGGCCACCCTAGGTCTGCGTGACTCCAGGGGTCCCCTGCTGCTGGGCATCCGAGTGGCCCATCACCCCAGGCTCTCAGACTCTGTTCTGAAGGAGAGAGATGGTAGCAGAGCTGGTGGAGGAGCAGTTTCAGCAGCTCCCGTGCCGATCGGCAGGTCTGCGTCTCTGTATCGGGGCGGCCCCATCTCTCTGTGCATCAGGAAGCACCATGGACATATTTGTTTACTCCATTTGCCGATATGCAGTTTGCACAATATTGAATCTGGAAAGGACACTGCATCCACTGACAGGAGTTTTCCCAGCTGTTAAAAGAAAGAAAGAAAGGAACCAGCTTTACATTTTTTACATTTTGGAGTAAAAATAAAGACACTCTACCGTGTGCCAGGCTTTCCGATGGATGGTTCTCGGGGCGGGGAAGGCCACGTCCGTGGTCAGGCCACGCTCCCAGATCCAAAGTATTGTTGGATGGCTTTCTCGTAAACACTGTTGGCAGCTCCAGGGACGGCTCTTTTGGTAAAAAGGATGTGCTGGAACGAAACATGGGCCTCCAGCCAAGACACATTTCTTCCTATAAAACAGAAAACATGCACATGTCAGGATGCAAGAAGCCAAAGCCTCTTCAAGAGGGGAGGCGTCCTCCTCCACAGCATCCCAGGAGAATAGGGGGAACAAGGCTGAGCTGGGCTTTGACCTGAGATGCGTGGTAGGGAGCAAAGAGCTGAATGTGTATTCCAGTCCTCCCCATCCCCCCACCTCTCCAAGCCAGGCTTTCAATCAGATGCCTTCTGTCAGCTTGCTTATATCCTCAGATTGGTCTAAACGCCTACCTCCAGTGTAAGGCATAATGAGGCCCTCCAAATCTGTAAGAGCAAAGACGCAAAGCACAAAGTCAGGGTAAGTGGAAGGAAGCCCAGGAGGGGGTGTTCTTCACAGACCCTGGACAGCCATTCCCCTGGATACTCTCTTCTCACTCAGACCACACTCAGACCCTTCTCATCACAGATCCTTCCAGCCTCCTTGGCAGGCTCTGGGGAGCTGCACAGAAGCACTGCTTGTCCAAACATCATTCTACACGTGGCACAATTCCCTGGACCCTCCTACCCAGAGTGGGGTCCTCAGGGCACCGTCAGCCTCACCTGGAGGTTGGTTAGAAATGCAGAATCATGATGCCCAGGTGTTTCACAGGCACATGGAAAGTTTTACAGGCACTGCCTGGGGGCTTCCTGGAGCATCCTCCTAACTGGACACATGTGCCTCCTTCAAGGTCCTCCAGCAGAGAAGGATGGACAATCGGTGAATCATGAAGTGACAAAGCCCCTCCTCTCACAGCACTCCCAGGTCATGGCCTGGGTGTGGATAAAAGGCACTTTGGACTATAGATCCCACAGCCCCCAGGACTCCAGTTTTCCCAGCCACCCAACCTCTACAGTAGGGGAGCATCTGCTCACACTTTCCCCTCACCATCTTGGAAGAGGAAAAACGGTAGAGCTCAATTCCAGGATGATTTAAGACATCAAATGAGAGTTAAAAAAAAAAAATCAGATCTGGGGTTCTTCATTGTGCATTTTTTACCCTTTAGCCAGAGTTTGGCTTTACCTGCTCTAGGGACAAAGGAGTCAGGTCCCAGGCAGCCTGGGTAAAGTTGGAAATTAAGGGTAGTTGTGTCCCTTGGGTGGACATCTGCAGGAGCAGTGGCCCATCGTGAAGCCCAGTTCTGTCACATCATTTGGCTCTTTCAACGCTGTTGCTCTAGTCTGGTCACTGAATCTGGAGAACTTATGAGCTCATTCCTGGGCAAATCACCAAGCCCTGCAGATAACTCAACAGCGAGCTCCCATCAGGAGCAAAGTCGCCCTGCACACCAGCAAGGCTCACCAACCTGGATCCTCCCTCAACATCCAACGTGATGGTGACATAACCACCCAGCCCCTGTGATCAGTAAGCACAACTGCAGGCCTTCAGCGCTTCTCCGGGAGAAGCAGGGGCTACCTTTCCCTCCCGGTTTTGGCCCTCAGGACCTGGTCCATAAATATTACGAGTATCTCACCTTGTATGACGGGTGTGGCAGTTGGAAATGTTTGTTCTGCCACCATAGCTGGTGGTTACATAGCTGGTGCTTACATCCTGTAAGGATAATGGGAACAGAATTGTATTTACTATCAATATGCTATTGGCGTGTGCTATAGAGAGTTTTCGTTTGGCATCATACACATAGATTATAAATTGCAGTTTTGGCCCATCACATCCAGTTGCCATTGGTCATGCCTGGAAACTAAAGCCTAGGGTGAGAAGGGGACTTGACCAAATTCACTGTCCAAGTTTTGTTTTGTTTTTAAGGGCTGCAGCAGTCAGAGGGTTATAGCTGTTTAAAATTTTTTTCAGGTTAAAATTACTATAGAAGATTACATTCTATGAAACCGTGTGGATTTGGTTACCATTTTTCCCATGTGTTAAAGCAGACACAAAATGACTTTCTGAGGAGAATCTTGGTCTAACCCACAGGTACAGCCTGGGTTATCTCCAAAAGGAGACATGAGAGCTTTCTATTCAGGCAGGAGTTCTTGTAAGGTGACACAATTTTGACAAGAGTGTGTTAATCTTATTCCCACCTTGGGTGACTATTAAAACATAAGGTTTTGCACCTACCCACTTCCCTGCAACAGAGAATATTTGCACTCTTAGCAGTTGTCAGAGAATGTAACCTTGAACTTGGTGTCACTCAAATCTCTCAGTTCCTCTTAGCTGAGAGGAGTTTTATTTAGAGAGCATTTCCCGAGGGGAACTGTATTTGTTAAAATAATGCTAGCTACTCTAACAGACAAATCCGGAATTCTCAGTGGCTTGACACCATAGAGGTTGGTTCCTTGTGCATATCACGGTCTAGTGAAGGTTTTCTGGCTGGTGTCTTCCACCAGACCCTCAGTAGCCTGGGCTTCTTCCTCCCCGTGTCTCCACCTTCCTCTGGGTCCTTATAGCCTTCTCCTCTCAGCCAGTGGATGGGGAAAGGGATTATGGAGAGAATGTATTTACTTCCCAACCATTTCAGCCCAGAAGTGACACACATCACTTCTGCTCAGGCTCAGTGTCAAAGCCATGCCCAGCTGCAGAGGAGTCTGGGGAAAGTACTCATGTGCCCAGGAGGGAAGGAAACAGGCTCTGGTGAACTCAAAGTAGTCCCTGCCATGGAAATGCATTGCTCTAAATCCCTTAAATTGACCCAGATTAAGCCTGTCCATCTGAGAGCTGAGTATCTGGAGAGCAGCAAGTGGGCTCTGCAGAACAGCTTCTCTAGAACAGCAAGGAGTTGTGCCCCTGGTCTAAACAGAGACAAAAGAGAAACACTCGGCGGGTGGGGAGATGGAGGGGGATTTCATACTGATGTGTGCCAGGTGCCGCTGAGGTCAGCAGCTGGGGCCTGATGAAGCTTCTTTTCAAGGAAGAATCCAGGAAGAACATCACTCCGAGAATGTGACACGATTTCGGTGTCACTGGTATGCTTCCGCTGTGCTTCGTCCCGTGTCCTCGCATCCTGGCCTCACAGTGTGATGTGTGCCAACTCCACTCCTGTTCGCTTTTATTTCTTGGGCTGTGACTCATGCCACTTACTGTGCTTTCCTTGGCCTTGGCTGTTGAAAAGCTTAGACTCAGATCAATACAGCCCATCTCTAGCAAAATCGGTGAGCCATTAAGGGATGTGTATTTTGAACCAACCTCACACCTGGCTCCATTCATCTCTCCTATTCTTCCATCTCCTGTGCCTCATTTTTTGTCATTTTTATGTCATCTTGCCATAATCCAACTGTTTTTGTAAACTGCATCTAGTTCACCTGAGGAACACAATGGAATACAAGCAAATAGATTAACCACAGGATTATCAAACAAATACAAGAGTAGCAGTGATCCAGGAGCTACTAGAGAAAGTTGGAGACAGTGGCTTTTTCCCTTCTCTTCTTGCCAAGGTCTTGGCATTAGGGGCGTGGCTGCTTCGCTCATGGTGTCTCCTAATGAGCAAATCTCTTGCCTGTGCTCTGTGTAGCTCTGTGTGTGGCAGCCTTCAGGAAGGCACCTTCCCAGGTCTCAGAGCTCCCACACACTCCGGGAGATGGTAATCGCAGCTCACTGTCTTTTGTATAGAATGACTGGTGTCATGGATGCCTCTCCCTCCCACTGGGCTTCTTCCCCGTATCTTTGCATCCCAGTGCGCCTTTGTACCCAGCAATTGCTCTAACACACCAACCACTAACACCTCTGAGTTCCATGGCAGAATTAGCCAAGGGGCAGCACAGCTCACGGTGAAAAGCAAGTCTCAGAGAAGAACTCCCCACAGAACAAACAGGCAAACAAAACAAAATGAAAGCAAACTCATAGATCCAGAGAGTACACAGGTAGATGCCAGAAGGGAGGTGGGCAATGGGGTGGGAGAAAATAGGCAAAGGGGACTTAGAGGTACAAACCTCCAGTTATATAATAAGTCACAGGGATGTAATAACATACGGAATGTGATCAATAATATTGCAATAATTTTGTATGCAGACAGTTGGTTACTAGACTTATTGTAGTAATCATTACATAATGTATGCAAAAGTCAAATCATTATGTAGCACACCTGAAACTAACATAATATTGTATGTCAACTATATTTTATTACAGAGAGAGAGAGAAAGAAAGGAAGAGAAGCACTATTCAGTATGGTAGCTACTCGCTACCTGTGGCCACAAACACTTGAAATGAGGCAAGTTTGAACTGAGATGTGCTGTAACTATAAAATTTTGAAGACCTAGTACAAAAGAAAAAAATAAATTATCACATTAATAATTTTTAATATAGAACAGGAATTCTCATCTAACCTCTCACCACTAAGTTCCGGAGGGGCACTTGCCTGGGATTCATGTTAAAAGGGAGAGACTGGGGATTCTATACCTCTGCCTACAAGTTTTAGCCCCCTGTCTAATGCACTCAGCTCTGAGACTCAGCCCAGAGAAAAAAGACTTTGAGGTATTATTCATCTGTATCATGTGGGCTTTGTTTTCAAGGACAAAAACTATTAACTTAAGGGGAAAAGTCATTTTGGGATTTTTTTCTTTAGTAAAATTAAATATGACCTGGAGCATCTTATCTTTCTCAAGTACAGAAGTTCAATTGCCCACCCTGGGTCCTCTGAATAGCAACTAAGAAAGATAAAAATATTTTCCTGTTCAGAGATGATTTCAGTTATCACAGCACTAAATAGATGGCAAATGAGCAACCGGTTTACAAATGTTTGTTCATGAAGCCTGAATCTGTTGTTTGAGAGAATCTGGGAGGAACTGCTGAGGAAGTCAATGACCAGTGGGGGAAAATGTTTTAAGTGCACATGATAATGCTGAAGGCTGGCCCACGGAGAACACGTGGAAGAACAGGACCTCAAACCAAATGATCAGGTGCATCTGAAAATCAATATGCCTGCAACACAGATCTGTGTCCCTTATCCTGAGCTAGGGAGAGCTCTCAGTTGCCCTGCAGCCCAGAGAGGCACCACCTTGAACTGCCAAGATGCCCCAACTTCCATGCCTTGCACCCTGCCTGGCCCCACATCACCTCCCTTTTGTCCATTTACCCCTTAAGCATCCAGGCTTCCCCTCTGAGAAGCATGTGCTCCTACATCCTTCCTCAGCCGTGCACACATCCTCACCTCTTTGCTCACAGCACAGGCCAACAACCCAGTGCTCCTTACCACGCACATATTATACTGTTAATTCTCTTGTCATTTCTGTCCTCTTGGTCCCCCAATTTCTTAAAAATGACCCTCAATGACACCTGACTCCAAGAAATCAATCCTTCAGCCTCCAGAGAGGGACACAGAACCCCCACAAGCAGAGGATTCAGTAGAAGCCACTAATGGTTCAGTTATCTTCCAAATAAACCCATTTATTCATCAGCAGAAACTCATCCAAAGGCCCATGTACAGAAGTCAGGGGGTCAATGAAGTTAGACGGGGAAAATGTCTATCTTTATTTTCACTAACCTCTAACTGAACTATAGCATTTCTCTCAATTACGAATGTGAGCAATAAACCACAGTAGTTTTAGCAATGCTATGATTTGTCAACAGTAGAAATCAGATATTTTAGTATGTTACGATTGTTGCAGATTTCTCAAAATATTATTTATTTCAGACATATGTCAGTTATTCAACCCATAAGTAGATCTTGCTTTTTGATGAGTTAATAAAGAAGCACATATATGACTGTGCCACACATGTTTTATTTATATTTTGATAACTGTATGTCAGTATAATTAGTTTCCTTTGTAATCCTATATATTTTATTTTGTGCATTTAAAAACATTCTGAGAATGAGTCCTGTCTTAGTCTGGGCTGCTATAACAAAATACCACAGACCAAATGGCTTAAACAACAAACACTGATTTCTCACAGTTCTGGAGTCTGGAAGTTCAAGATCAAGTCAGTGTCTGGTGAAGAAATTCATGCAGATAGCTACCTTCCTGTTGTACCCTCACATGGCAGAGAGAGATCATCTGTCTCACATCTCTTCTTTTTAGGGCACTAATCCCATTCGTGAGGGCTCCACCCTCATGACCTAATTACCTCCCCAAAGCCTACCTGCAAATACCATTACATTGAGGGTTAGGGCTTCAGCATATGAATTTGGGAGACACAAACATTCAGTCCATAGCAAGTCCATTGGCCTCACTAGATGCCAGAAGAGTTTATGGAAAAAAGGGAAAAGATTGTTAGCCACCCTCCCATGACCCCCATGAAGCATGCCCCCACCACAAAGATCCCTGTGACAACACCAGCCACAGAGTCTTCAACAATAGCTCTCCAAGCACTTTACAGACCTGAATTCTCTTAATTCCTCAAGAGGTGATAAATATCCACATTCATGTCAAAAGCAGGAAACTCATTTTTTAGATTCTTTTCCCATATAGGCCATTACAGAGTACTGAGTAGAGTTCATTGTGTGTATATGTCAATCCTAATCATCCAATTTATCCCTCCCCGCCTTACCCCCTGGTAACTATAAGTTTATTTTCTACATCTGTGACTCTATTTCTGTTTTGTGGATAAGTTCATTTGTAGCCTTTTTTTAGATTCCACATATAAGTGATATCATATGATATTTGTCTTCCTCTGTCTCACTTACTTCACTCAGTATGAGAATCTGAAAAAGAGTAGATATACGTATATGTGTAACAGATTCACTTTGCTGTACACCTGAAACTCACACAACATTGTATATCAACTATACCCCAACATTTTTTTTAAAAAAGCAGGAAACTCAGAGTTTAGATGCAGCACAGGGGCAGAAAGGGGGTAGTGGGAAGCACTGAGAGGCCAGGAGAGCTGGTATCTGGGGCTCCTCAGGGTCCGTTTCTCCGGAAGAGGAGCTGAGTGGCCTCCACCCCCACTCTGTGAAGGCCCAGTTATGCCACGCGCAGAGGTGAAAGTCAGGAGGGTACAGCCGCAAGACCACCTCCTCAGGAGCAAAACCCAGCCCAAAATGCTGATACCAGACCGACAGGGCAACTCTCTCAACTCTCACAAGAAAGGAAGAGGAAATTCTTTTGTGAACGTAATTCCGAACTGGGTGAGAGATATTGTGAGCTGCTCAGTTCCCTGCCCCTCGCACTAATTACACGAGCGCTCAGGGTTAATTTGTAGGCGCGGACCATAGTGCTGAGCGCACATTTTTTCTGGGTTTCAACCACTCTACTTCTCAAGTTGATATCACTTTGCTGCAACTTTTCTTTCTTTCTCTCACCTTTAACTCTAAGTCTGTCGGCATGTTTTCCTTTGGCAGTTTGGGAAAAAAAGTAAAAAGGGGGCCAAAAAAAAAAAAAGGTTATTTGATCCTTTGAAGAGAGAAATCCTGCTCATGGATTTTCTGCATTGAATTCATTGGAGAGAAAAGAACGATTGAGTGAACAGAATGGGAAAGGGAGGACAAGGAAGGGCACAAGCAGCTTTGATCTCCTCCAGGGGGAGGTAGGGCAGCTGCCCCCTGCATCCCCCAGATATCCCAGGGCATCCGGGCTCCCCGCCAAGCCCTTGGAGACCCTTCTGCAGCCAGGCCACACCCACCTGATTGGTGAACTCTGGGCTACAGGTTCTTCAAACAGCGCAGAAGAGGGGAGCGTGAGACTGAGCCAGAAATGCTCGCGTTCCCCTCCTGGTGCTCACTGCCTCGGGCACTTTGATCAGAGGAAGAAAAGCTGAGAACTAAGAAATCATTCTGAGCGCCAGCTGAGAGAGGGAGAGCTGATAAACCAGGGAAATACTCTTTGTAACATAAGCTTGTATTTCTTCCTTCATCTCTAGGCATAAGGAGGGAAGGCAGAATATGTGGTCATCAATACTAGGTGATAAATGCTCAGAACTTCTGGGTCAGCTCAAGGGCTCACTCTAGGCTGAGAAAGAGAAAACACCTAACATCTAACTCAGGGCAGGCACTGAGCGAAAAACACAGACTCTTACTGCTGCTCCCCACTGCAGAGCCCTCTGGAAATGTACTCCTGACTTTGAGCAGAGCTTTGCTGTCAAGGAGCTATGAGTACCACAGGGCAGTCATTAGGACTCAATTCTGTTTAAAGAACAAAATCCTTAGTGCTTAATAAGTGCTGGGCATCATGCTAGAAAAATCCGGAGTCCAAAGATGAATGGGAGTTGGGGTGCCCACTGTTTACCACAGTAAACTGATAATAACTCAGTGATAAGTGCTATAAAAGCTGTATTCACAAGGTCAAGGATAGAAAAGAGGGAGTGGCAATGATTCATTAACTGGGACAAGTGATGTCTGGGAAGGCTTCCTTGCAGAGGTGATAGGCAA